TTTATTTGTCTATTTTCACTTACTTAGCTGCCTTATTCTTACTGTTCCTCTCCTCCCCCAAATTATACTCTCGGCATTTTACTGGAAAACAAGAGGAACTCTGGACAATTTTTACTTCTTGTTTATTTTAAATCAAATGCCTTGCAAGATTATGCACCACCTTTTGTTTTGTACATGGAAATCCTCCTGTAGTCACCCACCTCAGCCCTTGATGCCATAAGTCTTTCCAGCTTCGGCCAAGGATGCCCAACACCTTGGCCCTGCTTTGTAAGATTCGTATCCTGATGCTGTCCCACATTCCTCTCAGTCTTGCCTCCTCTTCCAAACCTCCACCACAGCACTGCTCCCTTCAGCATGGTCTCCCCACTCCAAAGCTGACTCTCCTGATCTTCTCTGCCTCTCTTCGCCCTCTTTTCTCTCCTTGCTGCACCACACTCACATCTCTCATCGTACCCCTCCATTGAGCTCATCTTCTCCTGAGCAAGTCCCAGCAAACCACTGGCAATTTCTGATGCAAGAAAAATGTGGCTACATGCTGGGTTTTTATTTTTGTTTTGGTATTTGGTGCTTTCCATCCGTTTGTGTCCATCTTATCTTTTCAGACTAAGAACTCCTTGAACCTGTAACTGAATTTGTACAGGGCTTTGCACAATGGTTTTTCTTTGCAATCAGTCCCTTCCTGCATTAGCCAGTGTAATAAAAACAGCATGTGTTGAGAAAGAATGAATCAGTTTCTCCTTAAAGCATTTCAAAAATCCGGAGGAGTCTGACAGCAGGGAAAAAAAAAAAAAAAAAGAGGCGGCAGAGAGAGAAAAAACAAAATGGAGGTGATTTCCACTCAAAGCAGCATCCAGTCTAAGGCATAGCCTTAGACTCCTTTCACTTGCTTCCCTCCTTAGTAAGCTCAGATGAGAACAAGAAGCATTCCTCTCCTTTATTACTACATAACATTCCTGGTTTTGGTTGTGATTTTCTTCTCCTCTTAGATTAATTTTAACTTTTTTTTTTCCTGCCTGATTATTAAATGGTGCTTTAATGCAAAAAGAAGTAGCTTTATGATATTCTCTTCCTTTCCCAAGATCTAGACTTCAATATCAAGGACCTGCTCTGTTACTATGTGTTTGCTGAGCACCAAGTGGTATTTGAGTTGTTTTCACTTCTCTTCTTCATCTCCCCACCTGTCAAAGGCAAAATGATGCTTCCTTCTTCATTTCAGGACTGAAATAGTTTATAGTGCCTAGTGTAAGAAACTAATACCCCAATTGCTAAATGCACTATGACAATGTAGATGCCCATGTTAACCCTTAAACATACTAACCACTGAACGCACACATATGTACATGCACACAGACTAAACTATTTCTTTAGCACAGCAAATACTACATTTTAGGTGAGAAACTGTCAAATATATATTTCTCCTTCCACTTCTATCGATGTACAATCCCCCTCAGTCATAACCATGGGATTCTTCTAATTAAAAAAATCAAAATCATAAAAGAGCCCTCAAACCGGGGAAGTGCTAAGCAACAACTTGCAGGTGGCTCAAAAAGCTTCAGATTCATCTGAGTGGAAATTCGGGTACAGTTTGCTAGTGGCTTGAATGCCAAATAAAAATGAAGACTCATCTGGGGCAGGGAGACCTCAACAATATTCACAGTCTGCTCTTTACAGTCTGTGCTCTGGGGCACCTTTTCCCATGTGGCTGTCACACAAAGCACATCTACATCATGCATATGACAACTTTGTATGGCAGGTATCACACACTACTCCACCTATGTGACACATGAAAATGATTACTTTTCTACTCTCCTTCCAATAAGACAGAAAGCAGTTTGTAACCAGCCAGCTTCCCCCTGGCAACTGATACGCTGGGTCTGCAAACACTGCTCTCATGCCTGAGAAATCATTATGTTACTCTACATACACAGCAGAGACAAATTACTGATGTGTTAAGAGTAAAGAAGTGGCTGCCCTAGAGGCTCTCGATCCCATTTCACATGCAAGGTGCATTTCTTGCTTTTCTCCCAGTAAACCCTATCACTATTCCCCAGCTCCAGTCACCCTGAGCCTCAACATCTGCTGGCCCTATGAGTCCACAGAGGTACTTTGCCAGCTGCTAAGACACTGGACAAGGCCACCTACCACCCTGTGTGTCACCAGGGCTACTTAGATTATTAAGAGTTAAATGCACAAAGAGGTACATTCAGCTGAAACAAGACCAGAACATTCAATACCTGGTAGTATCAAGCTCCTTTTTTAACCTTGCATAACAAAGCAACTTGCCAAAATGTCAAATGGGGGGGAGATGTGAAAGTAAAAAAATGTATATATATATATTATTTAAAATAATCTTACGAGTAACACGAGATTTTCCTGACCACAGTCTGAGTAAAAATAATACCATAGCTGACATGTCAGGAAGAGGAACTGAGAGCACGGTTTGCCCACCTCTGCTGGGGGCGGCTGCTGTCTGGAGCACTGGAGCTCTGCTTTCGCCAGAAAAGGTTCACCAGCAAGAATAACTAAAACGAGCTACAGCAGAGGAAATCAAACCACAGCACTTCTAGGACAAAACAGACTTGAAGGCCACATCAGAACATCTGATTTTAACGGGAGCATACACAAGGGTGGAATTTGGCCTATATTCTGTAGACCTTATGTTTCTGTTAGTAGAGGAGGAAAAAAAAAAAAAAAAAAAGCCTCTCAAGTTAAAACAGCAATTTGCATAAGAGTAAAACTAATCCTACAGCTTGCTGGACAGAAGGGCAACAGTCCCCTTGGAAACTATGTAAGAGCAGTCTCAGTAAATGTGATACCAGAAAGAGAAAACTGAGAAACTTAAGTCTTGAATCTTGACCTACTGAAAACAAACACATAAAAAACACCTTTCTTTTTAATTAAAAAGTCTTTGTCACTTGTTAAATATAAAATGCAGCAGCCACCCTCTCACCTAATCAATGCAAAATGCATCCCTTTTCCAAGTTGCTCCTTTATTTAGGCCGATCAGTTTGCTGCTTCTTTAATGCTCAGCAAAATAGATAAGAATCCATTTGGCACCCAAATAAATGAGTTTCCTGGTGTTGGCTAGAGACAGTGGTTAATCCAGTCACCTTAATTCCTGTGAGAGAAATTGCTGTGCAACTTAAACTCTCACCTTTCATTCATGAGACAAAGGCTGAGCTTGAACTGAGGTAAGAACTGGGACAGAGAAAGAGATGAGACAGCTCCTCTTGTTAAAAATAAAGTACTGAATAGGGAGAGCATAGAAGAACAACTTTACTGTTTGAATATCGTGTGAAAAGTGTTCCAGTGTTTTCAGCCTGTCTCCAGAGAGATGGTTTTCCATCACAGCGGTTTCCATAAGGGCACTGGTACATTACACCGGTAAAACACAGCAGCCCCATTTAACTCCAGTGGAAGCTGCAGCTTTGCAACTACATTTTGTGTCAACTGCACGGAGGTGTTTCAGGCAGCAGCTGAAGGATTTTCACACAAAGCAAGTACACTCCCATAAACAACTTTTTTAAAGGACACAAATCCAACAAACTGTACATGAGAAAGACAAATTTTGAAATTTTTAAATGTGCAAGTAATCACAGTGAAAATATTTCTCAACTTGTCACTAGGACTTTTCAGAGTTGTGCAATGGAGAAAAAAGCATTAACAAAGAAGGGGGGGGATGGATGGCAGAGATGATTTCCTAGTTTAATTTAAATTTCTGTTCTACTGTGCATCCAATTTGTCCATGGAAGACTTGATCCAAACTGTAGCAAAATCAAGTTTAGGACACTTCTTTTAAGTTTTAAGGAGAAACAGGTGGGTTTCATCCCCTCTCATCCTCCTAGTTTCAGTCCTTTGGCTCTCTCTTCCCTCTAAGCCTACACATTGCAAGCAACATTGCCAAGCAGCACCGGCCCCCACTTCAGCTGTCCTACAACCCTGAAAATTTTAGGAAAGAAACTTAATGACACAAAATATATCCAAGACTGCTTTATGAAAAATGTGTAATTAACACACAATCCTGGCAAGCATTGCGCTTTACTGTTGCAGGGTCTGTAGACACTGGAGAAGTCACATTATAAAAAATCCACCCAAAAACATAGCTAATTAAGTATATCTACCCTCTTCAACAATGAAGACAAACAATTATGAAACAACAATGAAGACAACAAATTACTTCATTAGAGATAATCTTGAAAATTAGTTAAATTCTACAGATAAGGTAATTCTTCAGAAAACAATAAGGAACAAAAGTAGGAGGAATATAGTAATGCTTACCAAGCAAAACAAATAAACAAAAAACACACAAAGGTAGTAAGGAAAGAATGGTTAATATCACATATTTAAAATGTGCTATAAAACAAATAATGGTGAACAACAAAAATCAGAAGAAGAAAAAAAGAAACAATACAAAAGTGCTTAATAGTGTTCTTTCAAATATTTACTTTGCTGCTATTTGGAGAATAATTTGTTCCATTTAGTAGTGTTGGGCTCAAAGGACCGCTTTAACCCAGAGAGATTAATTATAGCCCTTGGAGTTATAAACACAAGTTTGGGAAGCAAAGCAGAAGGGAGAGGAGAGAAATGACTCTCATGCTGGCAATTAATGACTTTATGCACTTTGGGGGCAACACCATGAAGGCTGCACCCTTACCACACCTGCATGCTAAAGGCAAGATAAGGTGCTGGGTGTCCATAAATTGGGGCAAAATAGCTCCTTAGATGTGCAGGGAGGACACCCCGTCCCTAGGGTAACAGTAGAGGTGACTGTTGCTACAGGTAACTAAGATACTTCTCAAGAGTCCTTCGTTGAACCAAGTTTACCTGTACCTTCTGAACGTGTCCTCAGATCTCATTTTTATTATTTGCACCAGCAACAAAGAAATTGCCACGCTGAGACAAGGAGCAATGCACCTCCTGCCCGCTCCATTTGCTCAGTGCATGGAGACCACAGGTCCCCACAGCCCTGAGAGAGCAGGGCCAGCCAGCAGCCATCTTACCTATTGATGGGTCAGCTGCTCCCTCCTCTGAGCTCTCCTCGGCCCCTTCCTCCCCCAAGCCAGAGGTGGCCGAGTCCTCTGGGGCAGACGCGGAACCAGGCGTGCTGGGCCCGCTGACGGAGCCCGAGTCCCCTTCCTCACTGCTGGAGCCATAGCGGTCGGGCTGGGCAGCCGTCCCCCCCTCACGGCAGCTCCTCCGCTCTTTGCGGTGCACCCGGGAGTGCAGCACCATTTGGTGGTAGGTGCGGAAGACCTTGCCGCACTCAAAGCACTCGGTGGACTTGTTCTGGGTCGCCCGCCTGCCCTGCCGCGAGGAGGGACGGTAGTCCAGGTCACCCTGGGTGAGCGGGCAGCTTTCCCCTGTCGGGGCACTGCTCGTCTTCTCTGGGCGCCCACTGGGACAACTCTTCTTCTTGGGGTTGCTGGAGGAGCTGGGCAAATCCTGCTCCCGCTTGCGCTTCTCCTGGTTGACGAGGATGTACTCCCTCTTATCCTTGTCATAAGTCACGTCCGCGTCCGCCAGAGCCTCATCCCACCCCACATACTTCACATACTCGGAGGGCTCTGCTACTTTTCCTTTGGTGGCCAGCTGCCAAGCTTGGTAGCTACTGACTGGATCCAGCTCGGCTACTCTTTTTCCAGTCTGTCCCCTTGTAACTCTATCCAGCCCTACAGATGGCCTTAGATTGAGACACTGCAAGAAAAACTGCTTTGTTACTGAGGGGCTCAGGCTCCCGTCAATTAAGCCTTCGGCTTTATCCCCGGTGCTGCTCCGCTGAGCCCGGTAGTGAACAGCATTATGCGCTTTTAGGCTTTCCATGTTTGTAAACAGATTTCCACACTTGGTGCAGACTTCGTACAAAGACAGGCCCGTCACAATCGTTTCCTCCTGTATCACGTCATTGATAGTGGCTATGAGCTCCAGCTCATTTTTCAGTTTGTTTTTGTTCCCAGCTTTCGGGCCGTGCGACTTCATGTGGTTTTTGAGAAACCAGGGCTCTTTGAATCTTCTGCCACAAATGTGGCAGCCGTGATCAAACGAGCCCCTGTGCTTTTTCATGTGAGCTTTCAGGAACCAGGTCTGACTGAAGGCCTGGCCGCAAACTTCACAAGGAAACTCGCCGGCGCTCAGCTCGCTCTTGCAGTTCTCAGCATAGGCCTCCCCATTCGGGACCTGAGCAGTTATATGGTCCTTCTCTACATGATTTAATAATGTCTCCTCCCTCAAGGTCATGTAGCTACACAACCTGCACTTGAAAGGTTTGTGGACCTGGTGCAGGTGCTGCTCCAGGTCCTTCTTCCTTTCGAATTTGCTTTTGCAGAAGGTGCATGGATAAGCGGTTAGCTTGCCATCCTCCTCAGCAGGTGCCACCTCTGCAACCTCCTTCTTGCTGCTTCTCAACAAGATCTTGCTGCTGTCTACCTGAGCAGTGCCATTCAAGATCTTGTTGCAGGCAGATGTACTTTTGGTGGGACTGGTGCAGCCACCGAGACCCTCCGAAACACCCATCTCACCCAGCTGCGCCTCTCCCATCTCCACCTCATGTCCCTGACTTAAAGTGCCTGTCCTGTGACTACGGATGTGGATCTTCAGGTTGCCCTTTTGGGAAGCTCTGTGATCGCAGTAAGGACATTTGTAGGGCTTCTCACCCGTGTGCTTCCTCATGTGCTGAGATAAGGAGCTCTGAAAAGGGAAACTTTTACCGCAGATGCAGCAGCTGTGGCACATGGTCTTGTCAGCATCCATGTCGTTCTTGCTCAGCTTCCCTGGGCTGGAGGATCGCCGTAACTCCATTTCTGCCTCTCTGCTGCGATCCATCTGTACTACTGCAACATTGGGTGAGAGGGGCAGGAGGACAGAAGCATGTCCGGCAGCAGAGGAGGGCTGGACTGCGTTTTCAATCATACGGTTCTGCAGGGAGACGTTTTACAGCTTCATTCTCAGGGTAACGTTTCTCCTTGCAGCTGCTCAAGAGAGTCCAAAGCACCAATTTATTTCAGTGTGTTCCGTTAGTGAATAGGATAGATCACCTGAAACAAGAATAAAATCACATAAACATACAAAAATCATGTAAGTAGACTCTTTAAATATATTTAAGCCTATTAATATTTTGACTTCAACAGTTTCTGTCACTCACACCAACATTCAAAAGCATACTGTACTAAAATTTATTTCACCAAAAAGCAGCAGCTTCTCTTTTCACTGATATTCTAGACTTCAATGTCAAGTATTCAAAGGATCATTAATAAACAAAATCCAAAAAGGAGCAACAGTGAAAAAAAATAATTAATTTCCATACACTGACATCACATCATCTTAAAGAAACATGAACTTTAAAAATATTTTTGTTTTAAAACCAAGCAAAAGCAACTAAAAATACACCTTAAATGAGGAAAACATTTCTTGAGGGGGTTATTACACTTTAAATCTGTGGCTTTACCATCATGTGTAATTTCATGTAAAATACTTACTTGCCAAAGATAAAAGGCTTTCCTAGAGACTTTAGCAAATATCATATTCCTGCTGGCAACTGCATTACTTTGCGTCTCAGACAGTTCTGCTGTGCTTGATGTGGCATGCACAGAGCAGGCGCAGAGACTGCATACGCTTACTACTTTGATTAAAGAGAAAACAAGAACGCGGAGTCTGACAAAACATTCTGTATAACTAGAAGTTATCTCCTGATGGATAACAAGGAAGAAAACTCCAAGTGTAATATTTAGTCTCCATCTTAAAGTAGACTGATAATGTGCTTAGGTATCAACTCATCTTAAAAGTGGGTGATTTATGTCAGCAAGCTATACAGGAAACCACAAGAATACCCACCTCAGTGAAGAAGAATCATAATCATAAACAAAGTGAGAAGCAACTTTGATTTAAAAAAAAACAAAACAAAACAAAACAAAACAACAACAACAACAACAGATTAATAAAAGTTTAGAAGTATTTGTATCTTGCCACAATAAATTACAAGGGTCACTATCTGCCTCAGCAATGCAAGATACAATGCACCAGCAATTCTCCACCTTGCATATGCCAAAAATCAATGGTTAGATTTTAATAGATGGCTTCTTTTCCAATTACCACAACTGTAAAACAAAATCTCCCCCCTTTCCTATGCTCATTAAGTACTACAAACAGCACACAACTAGATCAAACAATACTGCGTTCTCTAATAAACAAAACTGAGCTATTACTGCGTTTATAAAACATTGCATGTTAAGATTTAGCTAAAAATACGGAGAACAATAACAAGACTGTATATTCACACATCCATCACTTGATATCTATGACTCAAAAAATAAAGAGCTGCAGATCTAAAGTTGCAAATACTGAGGTTTCTCATAGTATTCACCTGTCTCTCCAATACGTAAATGAATAAATACAGTTTAACCACATCAACAGCATAAGCGTAACAAAAAGCAAGGTAAAACTGATGCAATGTTCATCTCAGTTACACATTATAAAATAATTTCATTATGTTTACATTAATCTAGGCCTCTTATTTGCTACAAAATCATTCATTTCTGGGTTTGATTTTCCGCATATCTAGTATCTGTACAGCACATTAAGAGCTATCTACAGCATCTAACCAAACAACCTTTTCCTCAGAGAGCTGATAGTAATATCTAAAACAGATGTATTACAAATGCAATCTCATTTCTTGAATGAAGCATTTTTACATCATGACTGTATGACTAACATATTAGTCCTTGGGAGGTAAAAAATAAAAAAAATCAGATCACAAATTCAGAAGTCCAAATATGCATGAAGTTACAAACAAGAGTATCTAAATTAATCCCTGAAATTTGTTACTCAAGACCAAGTTAAAGGGCAGCCTCACAACAAACGTCCTGAGTGGCAGCCACTAGAAGTTGTTGCTGTACCAGACGGTACGAACATGCAAAACAGCAAATAAAAAATGTGCTTTCCACAGCATACTGATGGATGAAACAACTCAAAGTAACATCTTCATTCATTTGACCCATAATCCAAGTCTGCCAAGTAGCAAACCACATTGTCTCATAATCAAAGACTTGACCTAAAATGTATTAAACAATAAAAAGAAACAGCAACTTTTTTCTTTTTTGTTTTTGTTTTGTTTTTTGCATTTAACACTACAGTATACTTGGACAAGCAGCAGCTGCTTCTGAAATGTTCTGCACCATTGTAGAGCAGGGGAAAAAAAAAACAATAAGCCTTGGGGACAGATCGTTCTGGGTATTTTAGATAGTATTTTCTACATTCTGCATTTTCTGTACTTTACACCAGCAAGTACTTAAGCTTCCTTAACTGTAAGCTTGTACAGTACTTTTAAACAAAAAATGTAGGTCCCATTTTAATTCAACTTTCTATAGTGCTTCCTATCCTAACATTCAGAAGAGTTTTAAGAGCCAAACTTAGTCAGATGAGAATGTTGCAAGCAGCAGTTCAGGCACATATAAATCCCAAGCTTTAGAGTCCCTTTGTTTGCTTGGCTACAGCTTTCCTATGCTTAGTCCTGACATATTTCACTTCAATTATTCATAGCATTTTCATTAATGAAGCTTCGTTACGAAAACAAGAATATGAAGAAAGCACTACTTGTGAGAGAGATCCAGCCACTCACGGGAGATTCCCCATGCCCTATATTCAATTAGGCCTGAGGGGGAAAAATAAGTCAGAGCTAAAAAATAAATAAATAAACACCAAATGATTTCATTAATCTAAAATACTTAATGGAAATGTATCATCTTCACCATAATATTCTGAGAAAAATGGTTCAGCTTTGTTACTTTAGCTTGGCCTGCGCACTGCGATTTCTAACTTGAGGAGTTGAAATAAAGTATTCCTGGTTTTGAACTGTTTGAATTCGTATGCATTTAAACCAGCAGAATTTCAAGGCTGATCTTCCACAGATAGAAATTCCTGGGGGAGGATGAATGTTCACCAAATCCGAGTCTTCTTTACGCAGTATGTGTAGGCCTGCTTTAGGCTTTGGCAAACTGACTGACAGCCGTCCAGGAGCAGCTCACAACTCCCTCCTCGCATCCTTTGAGTGTCACTTAGAAGTAATTCTCTTAGAGGGGATCTTCGCACAACAACAAAGCTGGTGTTCGTTGGAAGGGAAACAAGCAGCAAATACTAAATAAAAATGACAACTTTGAAAACTGCTTCCATTCCGGAGACTGAACATACAAAACAAGGAAAACAACAACAAAGAATTCTAACAATTTTAGCTTAGTAACTTCCACCTTCGTTATCAGACAATTGTTTCAACAACATCAAAAATGGCACAAGAGATGACAGATGTCACCTCGTAAACCAAACCACACTATTTAGTCCTTTGCAACAAGTAAATTTTGCAATGTCTTTTTTTTTTTTTTCCTCCTTTATTTCTGGCTGACTGCAGTGATAAAGATATTTGGACATAATTACGAATTTGGAAGTATTCTGAGATAATGCTCTTTCAGCACACATGGAATCCGGCCACCTCCAGCTACCCTAAGGCTACTAAAAATGCATGAAGTAATTTCAGGTGGTAACTGATAACCTTTCATCACTGTGGTCCAAGTTCAGCCTGCAGTTCCTCAGCTTTAGGTTGTCACACACAATTCAGAACAGAGTTGCATCAAGCCTGCAGATTTCTCTCAGGCTGCCAAGGTATGGAGATCCCTACAGGCACAAGCCGTAAGGAAATGTAAATCGATGCTATTTCAAACATGTAGGCACCAAAATGTCTAACAAGCTCCGATTTTAAAAAACGACCTTGGAAAGAGTTTTTGGCTTGAGGGAAAAGTCATTTGGCCAAAGCCAACCTACTGCCACAAGGGAGCCCCAGTATCACCCACAGCTTCCCCAAGAGACCATTAGACCCTGCCAGCACTGCAGCAGGTATACTCAGCTGTATTGCCCTTGTGGCTGCTGCAAGACCTTCACATTACTTGTAAAGTGAGGCACACAGCTAAAAGTGCAGGGAGAAGTGGTTTAAATAAAATGGGAGCACTCTGCAATACCTGATACTCTACTCTTTATGTCACTTGTACGTTCTGGAAGAGGATGAGATAGGCTGTGCCCCCACAGCTGGCTACACAGACCCCTCTTAAAGCCTTTCTGTGCCACTCAGAAAAAATACAACACAAGAGATACCACACTGAAAACGTAACTGCAAATTCATTTCTGTCATATACTTGCATAAAAATATCTTGTTCGGTGTAGATGGAAAAAAAACTTTGGATAAAATTATTCCCATTCCAGCATTCAAAAAACTATAAACTCTTTGTTTTTCCTCAATTTAACTTGACTTTAAAAATGATATTGCATGGGCTGGAGTGGCAGGATGAGAGAACTTTTCAATAGGTAATAAACAAGAATATACTATTTAGGAAGCCTCACAGACCTTTTCAAATAGCAACATGTATATTTTGAAATCAAATGCTTTCTGTTTGGGTGTAAATATTTCAAGTCACATCTACAGTGCATAAATGCACTGTAGAAATATTGCTCTTCTCATCTCCAAGAGGCTTGAATATGCACTCCAATCACTCCATCATGCTCCTCTGCCAAAAGGAACAGTGACTTAAAAAAAAACCACACACATCATTGTGAGGTGTGATCTTGTGGAAGAAAATATCTTGCTGAAATTCTTTCTAGATGATGCAATGATACTGCAGGCAGACATCTAGGTGAATTTGAGAAAGTTGTATCTTTCAAAGAACGGCAGCCTGGAGACCAACTCTTGCCAGATTTGAGGAGGTTCGGATTGCCCCCAAATCAGAGAAACTTTGCTGTTCACAGTAAGGCACTAGAAGACAGCTAAGTGGAGAAAAAGAGCGGATGAAAGGTTTTACAGCTGCCTTGCAAGCCTTCACACTCACTGAATTGCAGACACCTTTCTCCCCCTCCATATCTTCTCTTCAAGCTTCAGAGCCACTGCTCTCCACAAATGTACTCCTTAGCGTATCTGAGTGCCCTCTTCCTCTCTTTGTGAGGGGACGTGGCTCCTTCTCTCAACACCCAGAGTCACTGGTCCACAGCCTTATCAAAGATC